AGCTCATTTTCAGGTGGATCCATATTTTGACCAATCTCTGTGATGGCAGTGCAAGATGGCATACCTTCACTATTTTTTTGGTTGCTGTAGAGATCTGTGACACATAATTCAGTATGGGCTAGCAGCACCATTACATAACCTAATAGCAGTACACAGACTGATACCCCTTAACTCTTATGGCTCCTTTTCTATATATCTATCCATGCCACAGTCACATCCCTGTGCCAAAGTGTGGGTGCACCATGTGGTCTGAAGTGAGAAGATCATGGGCCTGACAGGCTGCTACATTGCCTATATCCTGCTATCTGAAACTTAATCTTCTGTCAGAAGGTAGTTTTTATACTTAGGTGTAGCCTAAGTACAAGGCAAGGAATACTAAAATTCTGTGAGAACTGGCATTTGTCCGGTTGCAGGCAGATGCATCAAGAGTAAAAGAGGTCAATGCTAACTAATGGCTTAAGAAACTCCTGATGGAAAGAATTGTAGATATGATCCTATAGGAAGCAGAAGCCTCCTGGAAGTGAATGTACAATTCCACTCTTAATCCATTTTGATTTCGAGTACTTAATTGTGAAGTTTTATGTCTTCTACCATGTCTGCAAAGGTCAATTCACATAGCCTGAGTTTACAACCCCCTTGAATGTCAATAAGGGCAGATCTTCACATGCTTTAAATTCTTATCATTGTATCTCCACAGAGAGATGAATGTGGTGTTCATTTGAGGTTCACAACTCATTCTTTTCCCAGTAGAAGTGGAAATGCTTTTAGAGAATGCAAGTATCTGGTACTCAAAAAAAAAAAAAAATGCCTGACAAATATAGGAGCTATATTTAAAGCCTGTAAGTCAGACGGGTGGATGGCACAGAACTATCCCAGGTTTCTGAATTGGGGGACCAATCAGATCAGGCAGGAGGCTGACAAAGAATTTTTAATCTCTGAGGAGATGGAATGGCAGACAGGAAGAAGAGTGCAGGATGAATGATTGAAAGCAAACCAGTACCTGCATTACTGCTTTTGGAAGATGTAATCTCACAAATATGTGCCTTGCCTGAGGAGTCAGCATTCTAGTAAGACACTGGCTCAGCCCACTTGGGAGGCAGAGCAGCAGTTAAACCTCCTGCAGGCTGGAGAGTGAGGGCTGTTTTCCACACACTGCAAGATTTCTTCCTAATTGTTGCAGACCAATATGCTGGTGAACAGTAGCGGAGCTCCCTGCAAAGAACACTGTTCAAAATTATCACTTTTGGGAGGCTACACTAGTGCAAGCAACTGGGTTCTCCCCACTGTGAGATGAAGTGAGAGGATGAAGAAATCCAAAGGAAGTTTTAAGTTCATAAAGCTCCCTAATCCCCATTCTAAATAATCCCTTAGGAAGCTTACATTAATGTAAATTTCATATAATCTCATTGTCCAGGATGCTATCTGCCATTCCAGTATTAGTCCTCAACAGATCATTGCTGAGAATGCAGGCATTTCACAGGGAATTCATGTTGGAGTTGCACATGTGCATTATGGCTGGGTATAGATAATGGTGTGGATATCATTAGGGAATGATTGAGTTATTTTTAAAGGTATTTAACCATGAAATTGCAAAATGATTACTAACCATCCAAGCGTTAAGTTTGCCAAATGCTTTCTTGTTAGCTGTAGTGAGCAAGTTGCTGGCAACAAATTAGATTTTGACAAATCTTTTAAGATATTGTATGATTTAGGGCACCTAACTCTACATGGGATGAGTGAAGACCAGGTGAGAATGGGACACAAAAAACTACTAGTTTTATTACATATTTACTTCAGCTTTGCCTTTTGTAGTTTGGGTTTCTGCTGCCAACTTCTACATGCTACAAGAGTATGAAGCACAATATTGCCAACTAGGCAGGAAATTATCAAATCTTAAGTCTCTTTTGGTTCATAAGAGAATTTCTGTTGCTTTTTGAAAAAATTATGTTAGTAATGGGACATATAGGGAAAGCCCTTCTGATGAGGCATTGGATGGTTCTTCGTAGTCATTCAACAAACAGAGCCAAGAGCCTGTAGCTCTGTCTGCCTGTACTTGCATTTCTATCTTGCTGTTGCATGTCTATGGTATATGACACATCTGCTCCTACTTCTCTGCAAACGCTCAACATATAATGCACTGAAGTCTGGTCACCCTCAGCTCTCACAGGGAACTGTCTCTACTAGAATTTGAATTGTTATGTTTGTCTGTGCCATATGTTGAATGTATGTGTAATGCTGATAGTAATTTTTTTCTCAGAGCAGTAAAATATATATCCGTCCAGCTGGCTTTTCAAAAATAGTTCAAAAGTTGTTGGGAACAGCATGTAAAAAGTATTTCTAATTCATATCCCAAATCTGTACTACAAAGTGTGTCTCAGTTAATTTCTGAAAAGCCATGCCAATTTTTAAGCTCATCTGACTCCTACTGCAACTTCTAGACTCAACATTTCTTACATAGAAATGCTGTTTCAGCCTTGCCTTGTCTCTAGGCAAATGTCTGTTTGCTTACTGAACATTGGTGAGCCCTGAGCAGTGCAGTGACAGTTTACATAGATCATGTCTCATTTTGCTCTAGGAAAAAAAAAAAACAAACAAAAAACTTGTGTCAATTAATGTTGAAGTGGAGCTGAATTATGGGTGGGCATTTCTTGCCATCTGAAATTCAGAGAACCTGTGGTGTTACCTCTTGTAACAATTTCTGAGGCTAATTTGTGTATGGATATGGATTTACAAAGGACTCTGGATATTGATTTTGAATAATAAGTTCTGCTTAACCTGACTTACAAGTTCTCCCAGAGTTCCTGCAGGGGAATTTCAATAGACTTTGCTTTTTAACTTCTCCTTTTTTGTGATCTACCTGCCTTTCTCCATGATCTCAGGCCATATGGGCTGGCTACAAAGCCAAACAGGGCACAAACATCTCAAGTCTCACAAACAACTATTAAAATAGAAAAGCGTGGAAATAAACAACAGAAAATGTAAGTTCAAATAAAAAACCTTGATAGAAATTAGCTAATATCTGAGCTGGCTTTCAGTCTGACTTATTTTATGCGACACTGTAACACAGTTAGCTATGTAAACAAGCAGCCCCAAACTCCATCTTTGTGCAGGTTTTGTTTGTGGGTTTGTTTTTTTACAAGCTTAAAATTGAATAAAATTCATGCTGGTGATCAGGAGTGTAAAAGTAAGGTTTAAACGAAGTAAAAACTTGAAATGACCAAGAATAAAGAATAGGAGAAAAAATAAAATGCAAAGAGGTAAAATTAGGGAAAAACCCCATACTTTTAATCATTACATAATCTTTGATGTAAGGGTAACATGAAGACATGCCAAATCAAATGGAAAGTAAAAAACTGGGGTGTCTCCAGAAAGAGTTAAATATTTGTTTCTGGAGAAGAGAACTGGACACCAAATCATGGAAAGGAGGAAAAGGGATTTTGAAATGTAGTTTAAATATTAGTTGGGGCCAGTAAAAGAGAAAGGAAGAAAGATCTAAAGAGCTAAGGGTAAGGGTATGATATTTAGAAATGTAAATGTAAAAGTGAACTGTGGCAAGGATGTTGTATGGGCTGATAGGGGTAAGAGATGAAGGAGAAAAAGGAAAGTTTTAAACAAAGACACTAAATGTCAAATTGAGAATCTCAAACAAACAAACAGGTCAGAAGTGACCACTGACAGAAAGAAAAAATGGAGACATCTGAAAGGAGAGAAAGATGCGTGTTTTGTTACTAGTTCTCTCAGACATCCTGGGAGACTGCAAGAAAAAGCACTGCTCATCCTCCTCTACAAAAGGAAGAGACAAAAAAAAAAGTAAGGACATACTCAATGTTCTTAGCTAAATGAAGCAAGGATTCGGGAAGGCCACTAAATACAGCAATGGAGAAATTAGGGCCTGAGATCACGAGGATGTGTACCAAGAGGGTGATACTGGCTGTCACATGAGACGATTCAAAAATACCACCTGCAAAGATAATATTAGAAATAGGGAGAGTAAGGAGGAAAGCAGCTTGCCAGAAGGTTGGGCCAACAATCCTAACATTAACACTAGAATTAGCAGGATATAAATGAATATCAAATGATAGAAGGCAATGGATAAAAAAGGGCGGAAGGGGAAAAAAATAGAATTCTGAATAGCAAAATATCATCTTGCATCATTTATACAGGTTAGAAGTATGAGGCACCAGTGTTGCCAGAAGCAGTGCTTTCAGTAGGTTGTCTCCTATGGACGATACAGTGGCAGCCCTACACTACATCTCTCAAGAGAAGTGGATGACTTCAGACGAGAAATCCAGCAACTAGTTAACACACATTGAAGTGATTCTTGATTAGCGAGTGTTTTGTAAGAACAGCTCCAGAGAGTAGAGCTCTTTGAGCTTCGCTACTGAGCAGAGGCCAGGAGAGCTGAGACCACTTGCCACCCTCCTCAGCAATCCCAGGTCTCACCATTTTCAAAGGACAGATTATGAGTTATTTCATTTGGCATGTGGGGTGAGGTTGCTCCATCCCATCAGACCACAACTTTCTCAGACAAGTGAGTCACTACCCCGGTGATTATAACTAAGCCTTACACAGGCACACAAAGCAACACAAGTGCAGAAGCGGAGGATGCAAACCAGCTCTGGAGCTCACCCCCACAATGATACAGCCAATGGATGACCTGTGTGCAGGCTGACAATTCACATGGATTGTAGCTACGTGTCTGGTGAAGTGTAAAAACTTGTTAAATAATTTCCTTTTACCATTAGAGGTGGGCAACCTTCCTTTCAGTAACAGTTTAAAAAGAAGATGTAGTTTTATACATCTGAAAGGTATTCAGAACAGCAAACACAAAAAATAAAATCACAGTGTAATATTTATTAAAATTTGCAAATAAAGATGTATTTTTGAAGAATATACTTAATTTTACATATTATTTGTCTCAAGAATGAATCTGAGGATGCTTTTGATTATATCAAACATACCTTCCAAATATTTTTTCTATTTTGGCCTTGTCTAGAAGTCAGCTATGTTTTTAAAACTTCCTATGTTCAGTTCATACTTCTAGAATTCACTTTGGGTTACTGAAAGCAGCCTCACTGACTTGACGCTGAAGAGCATAATCACAGTCTAACCATGGCATAAGCAAAAAAGCTACAGAAAAAAGCATGCAGTTGTCCACACTAATACCTGAATTATTATAGCAAATGACAGCCTTAGTAACCTGCCTTTTGTAGAAAAGGTTCTTCTTTTAAAATATGGTGTAGTCTAGAGCAATATTCTTCCTCTCCCTCCAAACGAAACCACTACAGACACAAAAAGCCAGTGTCCTGGTGGTTTACCCAGACAATGCAAAGAAATCTCTAGCTCAAACTGTGTACACAGGTTAAATTGATTAACATTTACATAGCTAAATTGATTAACATTTACATAGCACACCACTTCCTTTTTTGCCGTTAGCATTTCAGATCTCTGAGTCCGCATTTCCCTGTGACAGACACCCAAAACAGCAACAAGCTTCAGAATGGTTTTCACATTCTCTGACTATCAATGCGACCAAAATCCAAGTGAAGAGAAATATTTGGACTCCTAAATAATTTTGAAAGCTATATAAAGTGTGTGACCTACAAAATCAGTTTCAGTGAGTGCATTTTAACTTAGTTTCTCAGAATGAACTAGGAGGCTAGGAAAAAGTCGTATATTCTCTAAAGATACAGGATTTTGATGGGTTGTATGTTTTTTAAAGCAAGTTCCACAACTCACCTTCAAAGTCCAGGTCAAACAGTAAATCCTTCCTGTTGTTTACATGTCATGAGTATGACAGCACTCAGTAATTTACTTCCTTCATTGCCAGCTAAAACCATTATTTCCCATCTCCTGATTTCCTAAGATGCTTCTTGTGAAGATTACACTTCCTGTAGGTTGAACTCTTGGGCAACCAAGATTTGCTGCTTATATACACAAGTCTTTCTCATTCAGATCCAACATTTTCACACTCTTCACTCTCTCAGAAGGAAACAGAGGGTCTCTTTATCTGGGACTTGGGCCAATAAGGGCCACAGGGAGTCACATCGTAATAAATATACATATTTACTATATGGATAATAGAAACTTTTTCCTAAACTTGCTTTTAGCTGGAGAAGCTGTTGCAAAGAAACATATTTTAAATCAAAGGATTACTATAGGAAAATTATCTGCAGGTCTCAAATAAGCTTAGACAAAATAGAAAGTACATTTCACAAGTTTGTTCTGAAGTATTTAAGCAAGCAAAATGTCACACAGCTTTCTAATTTAAAAGACTTTGAATTTGTATTTGAAAAGAATAAAATAATAAATAGTTAAAAGAGCTAATTCAGAGGGATCTTTCACGGAATCTATAAATCTCCATGGAGGACTTTACTTATTGGGATTTCAACAGAAATTTCCTATTTAATCAGAATATCCTTTGGAAGGAATTCACATCAGATATTTCACAAAAAAACCCCAGAAGTTTGCGTGGGTTTTTTGGTAGGGGTTCTAGTAAAACATTCATACAGTTTAGCCATATGCATTTTCTCACCAAACCACCCTGGTATTTTCACAGTCTTCCAACAATTTTCTCAAATGCTTTCACAAACTGATAAAATGTCCTACACCAGAAAAAAGAGTAAACAAAGCTTTAGCCAAACTATTTATTGAAAAGTGAAGAATCAAATAAGCATGAGATTTTTTTCCATGGTTTAATTATAGGCACCATAATATGATCGTTATTACACAGCCTTCCTAAAGGGCTTCCATAAAATATTTTATTCTTCCTCTAAATTAGAACAATTATATCTAACTTCTGAAAAAAATTTTAACTGATAGATACAGAAAAGATTTAAAACAGGTTTTGAAAAAAGCCACAAGCAGGGCATTTCATATAGACTCTGGTTTTTGGCTCTGCTATGATTACATTGCCTGAAACACATACTCAAAGACATGTAAATGTACAATAATTTACTCAACTTCATACTGCACTCGTGCAAACAGCACTCTTGTTAATGGGACTTAAAATGACAAACCACATTAGTGCATTGAATCCTACAGCAAAGTCTTCAAGTATTGTAAATAAAACAAGAGTTCAGTGAGGGTTTTAGTGCAGATGCTGCAAAAACTGATTCTTTTTTCTGTATTTTCTGTAGAAATACATGGAGTTGCAGAGGAAGACCTACATCAAATCCATGTACCAAAAAGGCTGAAAGGGAGAGAATGACCTTCCTTTTTGACCTCTTCACAGCCCAAGTAAAGCTTTGTTTGTCTTTTGACTCTTGGATAAATGATTATGCCATTCGTGTGTATCCACATGTGAACAGTTTTAAGAAAACAAAACAAAACAACACATCCAAAGCTGTGGTAACTTTCTGCTGTTCATCACTTGCTGCAAGAATAAATGATGGCCAGAATTCTTGACTAAGGACAAAAATGTTTATTTTAAAAAACCCTTACTTCTCAGAATTTAGGCATGTATTTTCCGTGTTATCCAATTTCTTGTTTATGTATCAAAAGCACCGAGCTGATAAATATTTATTACTGCACCGTGAAAAAACCAAAGACACCAGTGGAATTATTAATGCGTAGAAGTGCTAATCTCTTCCTCAAGAAAGAATTCCAAGTGGTCATGAGTTTATCCTGAGTGCATCGAACTTCTTTTTCCTCCACTATACTTACTACAGTTATCAGTTTCAGGATTTGGCTCACTCCAAATTTGTGTTATTTGTTCCTAATTTTGTGTAAAATTTCGGTTTCAGCCCTTTTCCATAATTTCAAATTTCTTTTGTTACGTACATCTAGTCACCTGAGCAAAACACACCAGAGAACATTTCAGCAATCCTTGTTATTAAACTGCCTTTGTTTACTTACATAATCTCATTTTTTTCTAATTACGTGCTTTCCCACTTTGCTAAAATATTTATTTACTTGCTACATGTTGAATAAAATTCTCCAAGTCAACTAGGGAATCATAAAGACAATCATCCGTGTCTTGACTTCTGAGAAACTTCCGAAGGGTATCTAAAGCACTCAAAGCCTCATTTTTTGATGGCAAAATCTGTTCAGCTCCCTGAAATTGATCACCTTCATTCTCATCCTCATCTTCATCTTCATCAACGAAAAATGTCCCAGCTTTATCTGACACACTTTCTTTGGCACACATCATTCCATTATTTATGTGCACTTCATAAGTTAGCAAGTCATCATCTAGAGCTGCATATTCCTCCAAAGATAAGCCTTCTGGAAACTCCACTCCAGCTGCTTGTGCGTGAGCAATCAAATCAAGATCACTTTCAATCTCTTTGTTGTTACCATTTGTCTCAGTTTCTAATTTGAATTCTTCTCCATTATAACTTTTTACAATAGTCTGTGGTGTTACTTCCCTCCAGCACAGGTACAACATCTCAATTGCATCAAGAAGGGTCAGCATAAACTCCTTATTACCTTCTACACAATCAACAAATCTCTTGATAAGACAGTGCCTGTATTTAACCTTCAGACTTCTGATAACCCCTTGTTTCACAGGTATACATGAAGAGGAGTCTGAAGGAAAGAAAACTAATTTGACAGACTTCAGGTTCTTTACCTCTGTGTGAGCTGGGAGAGAATCAGCAAGAATAACCACTCGGCGCTGCTGTGCTTGAAATCTGCCATCGAGTTTATGCATCCACTGTTCAAACACTTCTGGAGTCATCCATGCCCTGTCATTTGCTTCATAATCCACAGGAAGCGACTTCACATCTTTGAAAGACCGTGGACTTTTGTTTTTTCCTATAACAAGCAGTGGAAGTTTCTCGGAGCCATCCATATTTGTCCCCACCACTACAGTTATTCTCTCTTTGCTTAATTTACCTACAGAACAAGTTTCCCCTTTAAATGCAAATGTGTTATGTGGTAACATCTGATACAACAATCCAGTCTCCTGTATATGAAACACATTTTTTGGCTGATAATCATTTAAATAATAAGGAAGCACATTCTGGTACCAAAGGGTTGGAGCATCCGCTGTAGTAGTTGCAGCTGCTTCTACAGGCTGAGCTCTGAAAACTAAACCATATCTCGACTTGAAACGATCGAGCCAGCCATTGCTGCACCTAAAATCACTGTGTCCGAGCTTCTGGGCAAAATCATTCGCCTTGAGGCGCAGCATGGGACCGTTCACCGGCACCTTCAGGCACTGCGCGATCCTGTACCACTTCATCAGTGCCTCCTCCAGGTCGGCATAAAAAGCCGTCCTCAGCCTTTTCCTTTTGGGATCAAACCGCAAAGTTTCAAAGGCTTCCAAAACTTTTTCCTTATTCTTCATAATCGAAGACAGGGAGTTCTTCTTTATGCCATACTTGGCTGCAATGTCCGCCTTTTTCTTGCCACTCTCCACGGCGCTTATGATGTCGATTTTCTCCTCGATAGATATGCTTTTTTTCCTCCTCACTATGTGTTCGGGCAGCGCCTCTGCCATGGCACCGAGGTCCGCTCATCCACATCCACACGCGGGCACGCGCCCTCCTGCTCTGCCGGCTGGCTTTCCCGGACGGCGCTCCGATCCCAGGGGCACGGCACTTGGCGAGCCTGGAGCCGCCTCCCCGGCTGCGCTGCCCCCGGTTGCCATGGCCGCGACCATAGACTCGGCAGCCCAGAGCGGCCACCGCCCTCCTCCCCTTTCCGGCACGGCGCTTCCGGCTCCTGCTGCCACCGGAGAAGGAAGAAAATAAAGCCGGAGAGGGGCCGCCGGCGCCGCCCTGCCCGGCTGCTTCTTGCCCCCTCTCCCTGTCTCCGTCCCGCCCTGCCGTCCCCCGCAGCACGACGCCCCCGGGGCCGCCGCGGCGCCGCCGCAGGTGAGGGCCGGGCCGGGGCAGCCGCTGGGCCCCGCGTTCGGGGCGGGCGGGGAGGGCCGGGCCGCGCCTCCCGCTCCGGCCCGTCCGACGTGTCATCCCGCGGGGCTCCCCGGGAGGGGGGCGGGCGGGCGGGGGTCTGCCCATCTCGTACGGCCCCGCTCCGGGGGGCACTGGGCGCCCGGACAGGGAGGGCAGAGCCTGAGCTTGGTTCGCGAGAGAGAGAGGGAAGCTGTGTGAATTTCGTGCCCCCGAGACTTACTCCACACCCTGGCAATTACTGTTTTAAGTGTGCCGATTTGTCTTTTGCTTGCTGCTCTTCAAGCATGGGAACGCTGTGGTGCTGTGTGACAAGCACGTGTTGTGTGTGGTGTTTGTTTACAAACTAGACGCAGTTCTTCCAGTGTTTCTTATAGTAAATCTCTAATATGTCATTTTTAACTGGCACCACCTCATAGCCTTTCATGTCGTACGAAGGGCTCTAAGGGGGATCATCCTGAACGTCCAGTTCAGAATGTAGTTTCAGTGTCTAATGTGTGCTTTCTTATGCTTGGTGGCACCAGTAGCAAGGAGTTATCGCTTTGCAGTCGGTGGCTGTAAGTGTTGACTCTCTAGAAAAGATAACAGAAGGGTTCTTTTGCAGGGCTGGAAGAGGACGTTACTTGATCTGTGCAGCTCCAAAAATGTCTGAATCATATGTATGTTTATGTGTATATGTGTGTACACACACACAGTTAAAATGTAAAGATTAAGTGACACAGAAGAACAGATTGGAAGCATTAGGAAGCTGAGGCAGTATGTTGATTCACTGTTTCTTTCTGTTTTGGTAGAAGTTGAAATCATAAATGGGAGCCCGTGGCTCACCTAATCTGGAGACGAGCAGAGCATTAAGGCATTCAGGGGCAGGTTGACCCATCATGGGGTTGTGGAAGTTAGTAGCAGCCTTGTTGTCTGGTCTTTATCTCCATCATGTCTTCTAACTCTCAGTCATAATTAGATCTTGTAAGTGGAGCAGCCAGGGAATTCAAGAGCATTAAGAAGAAACTATGGTGTGATTGCAGCAGAAACTGTTTAATGCAGTTCTTTACAGTCTTTTTAAAAAAGCAGTTGATCTTTATCTTGACAAGAATTAGTGAAAGTATTCTTAGTTAGAAATCAAAATTAAGAAAATATGTGTAAAATCATTATTTTTCCACTGGTGGATTTTCTTCAGTGTTACAAAAACTTGTATTGCTTATCTATGCCTTGGAGTAATAAGACAGCAATAAAAGTGTGTAGTAAATTAATTTGGACAGAAGCTATCTTGCTTTTGCCTTATTGGCAATTAATTAAAAAAAACAAGCAAAGGAGCCAGTGCATCCTGCTTAGAAAAGGAGATTTGGTTCTTGAGAATCCCATGGTTCTCATTTCTGAAACCAGAAGTCATTTACCTAAGTGATGTAACTATGTGAAGAATAAACTCCTTATTCAAAACTAATTTATTGTTGATGACATTTAATTCATATTTGCATGAATAAGCAAATATGAATTTGCCTTTTTAATTAAAGGTTCATAAGTGTGCTTTTCTAACCACTAATTATAATTGATTAAATGTCTCTGAAGTCTTTATCCTAGAGTAAGCTTATTATGTTGTTTATAAGTTTTTGATTTTTACTTTGCCAGATGAAGAAGTGATATATAAATCCCCAGGAGTTAGAAATTGTGTGGTTTTATTTACAGTGAGCAAAACTTAAAATGACTGAACCTGTAATCTAATATGCATTAAGGTAGCTTCACCATGGGGGGCTTGATTTTAGTCTATGTCCTCTCTTCTACTCTGGTGCAGTATTTGTGTGGATTTGCAGAACTGGTCTAGTGGGGGGGAAATGAAGATTCAGAAGGGCGGGAGTGATACAGACAGGGTTTCAGGCTTAAATTCATGTCAGGATATGGATCAAGCATATTTTTCCCAAGTAGAACATCTCTGAGTTGTTGTAATTGCAACTAATAGTAGTAAATGTTCTAGTACACCAGTCAGTCACCTAACAGGTTCCAAAGTTGGGGCTGCTTTAGTGGGAAAATCCCCCAACAACTAGATAATGCAGAATTCAAGCTGTCCTGAGGGTCAGCAACCTCTGATAAAGAACAGCACTTTGGCACCTGCAAGAACTATGGAGATGCAAAAGTCTGTAGGCATTTCTGTAATGGAACCTTAAATATAAATGATAAATGTATGTAGATGCCATCATTGCTGCAATTTCACATAAATGTCTTCACTTCTGAATCTTGGTGAAGATGTAGAAAGTTTTCATCCTTGCATACAGCATTCAATGTTTATTTCCCTATTTTTTTGCTGTGCAAACAGTCATCAGAAAATTCTGTAGTTAAATTAGAATGTGCAATTGAACTTTTTATGAAAGCCACCTTTAATCTACATTTTTTCCTCTTCTCATATTTTAAAGGTGGTCAGTGTGGATCATAGAGAGCTGGATCATAGAGCTGGCAAGTGTTGGCACTACTTGCAGGAAAAGAATATTGTACAACAAAATTGGTGAATTGACACAAATAGTGAATTAATTTGGATTTTAAAAAATGAATTGTCTTTGTGCAGTGTCTTCTCCATGGGTTTGTGAGATGGTTCATGCCTCTAGATTAGGTTATTAAAAGTTCTTAAGTCTATCAAAATTATTTTTACTGCTTATAGCACTTAATAGTTGTAAACAGCATTACTGTAGTATGTAAGTTTGTATATGATATAAAAATATAACTCTAGGAACACAAATGTGGTAAAACTGAGGAACAGATTGCCTTAACAAAGACTGCACTACAACATGAATTTAGCTTCTTGTTTAACCAACAGAGCGTGGAAATCTCACGTATTCTTCTAATCCATAATGGACTTTTTTTAGCTACTCAGAAATAAGCTGTTAAGCGCAGAGGTTGTTTTCAACCACAAGCATAGTTTGGACAGGACTGTGGGAAAAGAGCACCTCTGCCATATGGTCTTTCATATTCAAAAGAAATTTGAAAAATTAAGAAAGATATGTGAAGGAATTTTGTATTGATAGTAGAAAAATCCAACTTCATTCAGTGATATCTCTGAATGAATTTTTTTTCTGGAGAAAGTGTCTTATTTTACGTTTGAGTTTTCAAAGTAAAGGTTAGTCAATGTAATATGATCTGGATGATTTAGGTGATTCAGTTTCTCAGGCTTTGGTCATGCGAGCTGCTTACCTTATTAATTATTTGCTTTAATTAGAATTTTTTATAGCTTAGGCATTTGAAATACAATATAAATACAAATAGTGATCTCTTTATAATTTTTCTTAATATGGTATTTGTCTGAACATGTATAAAATGGTGCAATACTTAATGAACTGAAGTCATGCGTGATTATACTCAATACTGACAGACTTTAATTTTTAATGATTGGTTGTCTGCTCCTCTCAAACAGCTAGGTGAATTGTGGTGTCACCTGTAGGTACCAGCTATTTGAAATTGAATTTAGATACTTTTCTTATTTAAGCTATATTAGGTATGTAATTCATCTTTCATAATCACTACACTCACTCAGCTGATTTCTTGTGCATGTGCTCAGTGTCATTGCCTTTCTTTGCCTCTGTAGCTGAGATCTTTTTGAGACTAAAATGAAAGGGATTCTGTTTCTAGTAGGCTTAACAGACTGAGCAGCTTAGTAGGTTTCAGTGGCTTAGCATCAATATAAACTTGCAATATTTGGATAAGTTTCATGTAAACAAAGTAATGATCTTTGCAATGGTAGTCAGTGTATTGTTGCAGGTGACAGTATACATCAGCTGAAGAACCTTGTTTGACTTCCTAGGTTTTATGTTGCAAGCTTAGTCGTCTGTGGGGGAAGGTTGCTTTGGCAGTGGAAATTTATAGTAGATTGTATTCCTAGTCTCTGTTAGATTTGTGGAGAGCTGAAGGCATCAAAGGGAGGAGGTTTCACTTTGGTTTAGCGGAACTTGTAAAAGAAGTGTTTTCTGAAAGCCTTCCTCAGTTTCTGTGAGGTTCAGCGCCCAGCTCCTTTCACATCAATTAATGCATGCCAAACCTATTTGGTTTTCAGGTATGTCAGAACACAGCAGCGAATCCACAACACTTGATGAGTCTCACCCTGCTGCAGAAGAGGTCCAGTCTGGCTCTGAGGTGATTGGGTGATAGTTATATTAGTGTAAAATCAACCAATCCTAACAACAGTTTCAGACTACCAAAAATTCTACATAGCACAGTGGTATTAGTATGGGGCTACGAGCTCACGCACAGCATCTTGAGTGGGTGGGTTGGTTTTGAGGCACTATTAAGAACATTCTGATTAATTCATAGTGAAGGATTGCTTCAACCAGTAGTCTGTTGCTGTGCTGTAGTATTTGTTTTGTAAGTTGAATAGATTTAGGCATGGATTCTGAAATGTGTAAGTACTGCAGGGAAAAGGATTGGTATTTGAAAGGCAACAATCTGTGTAATCTCACTACAACAAGGTATTCTATCTACTGCTGAAGTAGTGAATCTTTTTTTTTTCTTGGGAGCAGAGACAGCTTGTTCCTTCTTTATGGAGAAGTCTGTGACATTTTGAAATTATGAACAAATTCCTAAGGTTCCTAATATTATTTAGCTGATCAGAATGTGTTTGGGAGGCTGTTTCAGAAAAATAAACATTTTTGTGACTGTTCTAGAGTAAAAATGAAAAAACTAATGCTGATTTTATCACTATTAGAGTTTCAATGCCAGTTAATTGTTTTTAAAC